GACGAGAAACGGCATATTAAATAATCATTTCATTTTGCTGATTATAAATTCCTGTTGTGATTTATCCCATATTATTTAATCCGCTCTAAATTTTGTTTAATTGTTTATATGAAGAGTTTGACATTGACCATGTGTTTGTACTCAGTCTTGTAAAATAACCTTCACTAGTATGTTTTCTCATGTCAAAGAATATTTTGTCTGGATTTTTTTTATAAATGATGAACAGGCTCAATCAAACTGAGTCTGCAGCATTTTCAATTTTTCTGTGTTGGGCTTTCTTTAGGGATTCGGTTTTTCTCTATTTAATGAAAATAATGTACTGGCTAATGTTTCAGTAGTATTGTATAAACTTTATTTAGTATAACCTTGGAAAATCTTTAATTTCTGGTATATGTTTCAGGAATGTTGATTCAACCATTTTTTCGGATAACCTTGACAAATCGTTGACATAAGTTTAACAACATCTAACTATCAATTTGAGTCATACCTTGCAGTTGAGAGTTTACATTCTGTTAACGGCTGAAAGTGATATTTTTCTCAAACTTCTAGCTTGATTAAGGCTATACTTTTCTATAATTGATAATCTTTGCAAAACGTGCGCTGTGTTGCTTGCTTACAATGACGGATAAGGTTATGCGAAAGGCACCAAGTATTGACGAAATGTCACTATAATGATATACGAAGCGGAAAGTGGCAATTTACAACTTTACTGTCTGACACTTTGTGATTACTACACAGATTGGTCTGGGGGTGGCAGTGCAACCTAATATGGAAATCAAGTAAAAATGGTAAAGTTCTGCTATGCTAGTTACGGTATGTATTACTGTTAGACAACTTGTAGCAGTATGTTCAAGTTACTGTTATATTTATACTATCATACAGTTCATTGTAGAAACAGATTAATAAATTTCTGATAAAGATAAAAGTAAAATGGCGGCAAAAATATTTATATGTTACTTATAGTATGTTAGTCATCTTAACTAAAATTTGCTTCATTATAATGAGACAATTTGGGTAAATAATCAATAAAATTATATATAGAAATATATCACAAAATCCTATTAAGATACCCAACACATCTGTTACATTTGCTCCTTAAATAAATTGATCACGAAAATTATTCTTTTCAACAGTATAATAACTTTTTTTGACATAATTTTTATCCATGTTCATTTGTTAGGCTTGTAATAATAAGGCACCAATAAACCGTGATAATATATAAAAGTCATTTGAGTCAAAGCTTATGGTTGATTAAAACTTTATACGTTATCAATCAAATCGATTGTAGAATTATAAATTTTTAATTTTGGATGTCTCAAATTACTTAACCATACAACACATGGCTCTTATGTTTAAATTGAAACATAGCATAGGATATCAAAATCATAAATGCTCTGAATTATTGATATAAATCATTTATTACACTTTGTCATGAAGACTTAATCAATAGAAGATAAAAGCTAGTGCAGTGATACAGTACAATAGTATTAAAGATATTATACGAGGCTTATTGAAGCATTCCTATATATTTTCAACATTTTCAATAACCATACATTTGATATTGATTGAACTTTACAGTACATTGTAACTGACGCAGAATAGAACGGGTAGAACTATGAAACAAATTTTGTCCCGGAACATTTTAAAATGATACATTTAATATTCATAAGCGTTTAATAACATAAACTGTATTTATATTACAACTTAATTGAGAATCAACCATATGTTTATAGAATCGACATAATTTTGCAATGATCCTTAATAAATTTTACTTAATAAAATAATAATAACAACAACAACAAAACACATCTTTATACCATTTAACATGCTCTAAATTGATCCTTTTAGTTTTAATGTTTTAAATAAATAAATGAAGATACCTAGTATTATACGAAATAAAGGATATTAATTATTACAATAATAATCATTATGGTTTTGTAGATTATAAATATATTTATTCGATTTTTCATTATAGGAACAGATATCAAATTGCACATTTCGAACACTAAAATACCAATATTTTTACTTCTTAACGCATCAAGTGTTGGCGTAACAGCATATTTGCATAAGCAGTCGCGGTTGATAATTTCCTCCGAGAGAACGATAAGTGAAATGGTCATCCATCCATAATCTTTTCGGGACATACGAAACGTAAAATTGCGATATTTTATGATATATTTGACACTTCTATTCTTCTGAATGAGAAATGGTTTTAAAAAAAGACCCTGAGATAATTATAACATTTATGAGTTGTTTATTTCACCGGGGAAAAAACTACAATCATGTCCTCTGGCTTCGAATTTTAATAACTATTCGAGAAAATGGATGAAAAATAAGAATACAAAGAAACCACACGAATATGAACAATATTTTAATAAAGATCTACCGGTTTCGAACCTATCTGGTTCTTCATCAGTTCATCTTCGAGAAAATGTTTAATTTCGTTGGCTTAGCTGTATTACTTTAATAACCTGCGCTCAATACCTTATCTTGTAAAAAAATCAATTTTCATTTTTTATTAATGGATATTATTGAGTAAAAAAGTACAATATGTCACATTGTTAATTGTATGATTGCACGTATATATACATCCACATGTTAACAATTCGATACTCAAATGTTAACTGAGCACTTTTGTGATTTGAGAACACAAAATTTCAGATATTTTATTGAGTGAATGTGCCATTTTGCGCGCTTAAATACTGAAAGCAGCATGCATGTTGAACGAAGCATGCCCGAATGCTTAATTGTAAAAGATTGACAAATTTACTACATGAGTATTAAGTATTAAAAAATACACGAAAGAACCTTGTCAAAAATCGTCATTATACTATGCTTGCAATGAAAATACTTAAAGAAGGGAAAAGATGTTAATGTAATAAAAACAAACTGGGGTTAAATAATTAGTGAACTAGTAGTAAAAATAATCACATGTTTAAAACTTACTTTCGTTATCAGATATTACTTATCTACTTCATTTGCCTTGTAGTGCGAGATTAATGTGTCTCGGATATCATTTCAAAATCTAACCGCCTCTACATACATACACACATTCTTTCTTACATTGAGTGTGTATGTAAACGTTGTTAATTCATCAGATTAAAGCTTTTATCCCGATAATCTCTAAATCGCAAGCGTGCTCGCGAGCATTTTTTCAGGAAGAGCGTGTGTTTAGTCTATAACTCTGAAAACCTGTCAACTGTGCTGTTAGCGCGGCTGTTAACAGAGTCATTAAACGGCTTTTTACCCGCAAATTTTCCGGTAAAACTGTGAGTATTTCTTGTAATTAGAAAATTTCGTTCATCAATAACCCCCGTGCCAAAATCTTTTTGTTCGTGATATTAAGCTATGAACATCGCGTGAGGATAATTGGTTTTTGGCTCAGCTCATTCGTGTTATTTACATCGGCGTATGTTCTAGAAAATAAAAGACTTTACCAAATACCAGGCTTATTATAAAATTTTCAGATTGTTTTACTCCGCGGAAAAAAATGTAATATTTATATATCTACACACTAAGCAATCAACGACACTGACAATGTTTTATTTTATTATGTCTTAGCATTGAGTGACATTGCAGGTAAAAATAATCAAAGTCTTCAATGTATTTTTCGGAAGAACCCTCGGTCACTTTAGCTAACGGGATACCATTTCAAATCATTTCATTATTACATTACTGTAAAAAAATCCTATACAAAATGTCTTAGGAAAAATATTAAATATTAAGTATTGGTCACTACAATCACGAATAAAGATCAAGCGTGTATGCGCATTTAAAACACGCACGCAATAATCCCTGTATTTTAAAACGACGAATTGTCTGTCAATTTCATAACCAGGTTTATTTATAAATAAGACTGCAACCGTTTAGCTTGAAAATAGTCATGAATCTATTTGTCTAAAGTAACATTTTACATACAGATTCAAATTTATCATATTCGATGTTTTGTTTTGATTTAACCATTTGATTATTTTAATGTTTTGTTGTTGTACGTCATAATTATATAACATTTCGAAATAACTTACAATTATTGCAATTTTGTATACAAAAGTACACTCTTGTAGAAAACAATGTAGCTAAGTCCAATAATCCCAGATCAAATATCTCTTTGTTATTATTATTTGATCATTTTTTAAAGAGAACACTAATTAAATAAGCTCCTTGGGGATTTATAAAACAAACACGATCAAGCGTTCAAGCGAAAAAAAAAATAAATCGCGATTAAGATTCATAGTTAAGATTATATTTGAGCTCAAATTTCCCCCTTCATGTGCTTTTTATATATTCATTTGCTGTTTATTTACTCGATTTTGCTTTACCCAATACTCATTGCCTTGATTTTATTGTTCTTTGGGGATTTCTTGTTCTCATTTTTATGGTCATAGAGTATATGAATAATGATATTTCATATGATATTTTATTCATGATAGGAAGATCAAAAGAAAAAAAAGCACAGCAAGGCTGAAATATTTTGTATTATAGTGAGATCAAAAGATATTATTTGAAAATCAATAAGAAAATGTTAAGGATAGTTAATAAGAATAAGTCAACTTATTGACTATCCTTAACTTGTACGAGGACTTGCTCTTGATCATCATTGTCATTATTATTATTGTTTTGTATTTTATAACGCTGAACAAAAACATATATCTAAAATAAATCATGACAACATTCCGAGTACAAATACTGGCGGAAGTGAAGAGGGTGTGGTCAACACCAGATATTTACCTGTTGTTTTCATATAATTATTTACGAGAAATTGTTTGACTTTATAACACTATTCAATTTGTTTGTTTACTTCTATAACTGTCATTCAAGTTGGATTTCAGAACAATAAAAAGTATTTGCTTTGGATTTAGGTATGAGTCATATAAATTTACTGTTGTTTGTATAGCAGTACATAAACTTCAGTAATAACGTAAACACAAGTGGGATTACAAGGGGAGGCATATTCCCCTGTAATTTGGCTTGGATATATCTGCTAAATCAAGATTACATACCACGTTGTCTGCCATATTGGCCTGCCTGCTCATCAACGATTTGTTTTGCCCCTGAAGAGTCTGTCAAGCTGCTGTTTGAAGCGCTGTAATTTGTGTGTTTCTGACTGCTATCGTCCTGTTTCCTTGACAACCCGTCCAAACCAAGGTTATCTGTAAGTAACGGACTTGACTTACAATTCCCTGCCTTAAGGTCTCTGTTGGTATTATGAAATGTGTCTGAATTGATATTCATATCCTGAGCATTCTGTGATGAGCTGTCAGAAGTAGGTCTTTCGTCTTCAAAATAAAAGTGAATTCCAATTCGGGGATTTGAGTTCTTTTGGTATGTGACATCTCGCTTTACCGTTTCAAGATTAAAACATCCCGAATGGTTACCCCTTATTTTTAGCATATTCAATTTTTCCATGATTTGTAATACATCATTAAATAATTCTTGCTGGTCTTGTGAAAGATTGGAAATATTCCAAGTTTGATTTTGACCAGATGTTAACGTCATACTTTTGGAATTAATTTTCCCATAATCCGTTTCCATCAAAACAAATGGCAAATTGAATAAAAGTATAACATGTACTAAGAAATGGAATGTTTTAAATTGTGTAAAAGAAATAAATATTCTACGGCAATTCCATTTTACAAAATATAACTCCAACGCCATTGTTTACAAAATATGTTTATCCTTAACATAAAGTTTGATTATTTACAACAAAGTTCCTTCTACCTATTCACAAATTACACTACGAAATAACTTGAAATAGTAAAGATAAATACACGAAGTATATTGTATGCCGAATTACACACTTAACGTATTCCAATATACACTGATGTCGGTATAACATCCACGTACTGATACAAAACTGTCACTATTCGTATTTCTCCAACTAATGATATCGTGCTATTTCAGCGATTCCGAATAACCAATATTTTAAAATACCGCCGCGCTGGAATCCGGCGTCCTTTATTATCTGCTCAATTTAAGTTATAAATTTTAAAAAGCAGAAACATTCCATTTATACCAATTCATTTGAATCAATACAGACGTTTTGAAACCCGAGACATGAAAAAGTATAGTATTGCAACTGACAAAGCAATTCAAAACATCTGTTACATTGTTTATTGATATAATTTTATGACTATCGTTACGGCTGCTTGAGTTTATTTGCTTTCGGCAACTGGTAACATCGTGTATTGAAGGTATATCAGATTTAGAATACAATTCCTAACCAAATATAGACTTAGATATATTTGGTAACACTGCATATCCATTTTTTAATCAAATATTTCACAACATCATGTCATGCGGTAAAATGTGCTGCTAATTCAAGCACATTGTTTTATGGAACGTTTTTTCTTCTTTTTTTATGTACAACATAATTGTTATTCGTAACAGAATGTGTGTGTTGGTTACTTATTACATGTAATTCATGTAATTACACCTGGATAAATAGGCAGCAGACCATCAAATCAATATCCAAGCTTTCCTTTTTCTAAATAATTAATTGAAACAAAACCTGTTGATTCTGCAATTATATGCAGTAATTCAACATATTGCGCTGAACTGAAATAAATGACAGGAACAAAACTTAATCGTTTGACTGTTATGTTAACATGTATACATTAACAATTCGAGTTATAAAAAGGTTTAAATCAAAGTTGCAAGAAATATGACTTTCATTTTACTAACAAAGACAAATAAGGACAATTCCACAGAAGGGCGAGGAAATGTGTGAAATGATGTCCATGGACGATTGTTGTAATGTCAAGCTAACTAGCAAGCCCCAAACCCCCAGCACTTGCTTAAGCAAGAGCAACAAAAACAAGACGAAACAAAGTAAATCATACCATGTAATGGATCGGTTTTCTACACATTTGTTTAGTTTAATCATATTTTATTCTTTTCATTTTTACAAGATGTTAAATGCAAATATACAGGAAAAATTTATAAAAATACAGCTTTGAAAGAAAAAGGGATGGGCCACAAGTTAATATAAAATCTTGACCCATGGACAGGCACAATCAAACGGAACCTGCAAACTTTTCAATTTTGCCGTTTTGGGAGTTCTACGGGATAAGGTTTTTACATTGATTGATATGGTTTATATCAGAAAAATATATTTAGAATGGTTTATTATTATTCTAATTGTATATATCAAGAACTATTGAGCGTTTCAATGGATTATTTTTTCTTCGTCCCTCCAAAAGATAAATCAAGTTTGCTGAGTAAACATCAACAGCAAACACAAAATGATTCTCATTGAAGTTTATCTCCCCATCTCATCAGCTGCAATATTCTTATGTAAGCACTAACATCAATCAGAGTTTTGGCTGTATTGTTAATGCCATAGAAGTGTATTGATTTATTGACATGTTTATCGGTAAAGACAAACACATAACCACTTTTGCCATTTTTATTAAATAAATATATTTTTGTCTATTACACATTCAAATGTTAAGTGATTAGTAAAGAGTGTCTGCGTTTTAACAATACGATTAGGGATTCAAGCTAGTGGGGTACACTAAATGAAATTCCTAACGGAATATAAAATTATTCTTGTTCTTTGACTAAAATTGTATCACTATATTAATGCTAGAACTGAAATTTGGTGGTGTTTTTGTGTGTTTGTTTGTGTTGCTTTTATTCTTTTAAAAGTTATATATAAAATTATCAAATAAAAACATATATTTTCTACCGCTTTCAATTTTATGCTAACACATGGTATACTGGCTGCAACTGATTTTGTCATGCGGCCACCTAGAACAAGATCAGCTTGGATTCCTGTCTGGCCTGTTAAATATATTTAGCATTGTAAAAAATAGGATTGCTTACATTTAAGGGTGACAGAACAAACCTTTAGATCTTTATATGGTGCAAACAGTGAACTAACAACAAAACTTTAATTTCTTTATCAATTATTATCAAATTTTAATTATTAAAAATATCTTATTTAATTGTTACATATAAAACATTCTCAAACACTATATTCAACTTAATTTTGTAACATTTTTTTTTTCTCGCGGTATTTCCGTCAAGCATGTTCTCCTTTTTCTATGGTTGAATCTATTCATGAAGTTTAGATATTAAATGGAACATTATGATGATAATAATGAAACAAATACTAGTGACACAAATGATTATCGTAAAAACAATACTCATTTGTAAAGTTACGTTTGCACAATTTATAAACAGGTTTGTTTATAAATGTGTTATTTCGACCTGTATTTGTATATAAAACTTTTATACATGCGACTTAGGGTCTGTCCTGTATCTATTAGATTATCTGTAAATAGAATTGAGATTTATCTAACAACTCTGAGATGTGTCTTGTCATATCAAATTGTATTGATTTTCCAGCTATAGATAGATATCTTACTTAATATCCAAAAGATATTTTGCTGTCGGTCAATAATGCTCATACACAATGAAGAGAATTGTAAATAAATACCATGGCAACGAAATGATAAATGAAGATATTTACTACGAGTTATATGCCCTACATTCTGTCATCACTATCATAACAATAAGAAGATTTTCCCAATACAATTACTGTATAATAATGCACAAATTGTATTTAAACAAAATGTATTTGCATAAAAAAGAGCAAAGCAATGCTCGACTAAAATATACTATCGAATACAGCTTCCAAGCACTACAATGATAGACTTACTTGGTAATTGTAACAAATTCAAACGTCTTTATATAATGTTTAAAATGATAAAGAGTAAATACAAAAGATACATAATTACTTTGGTGTAAATGGTGATGTATTTAGTCTCCTACAGTTAAATATGGTATCAAAAATCAAATGGAACTGGTAAGATAAAATTATAAAACATTACTCTAAAATAATTTAGATAATGTTTAAATGACAGCATTCCTGCAAATAATTAAATAATGTAAATATATTGGATTATTATTATTAGATTTTAATTATGTAGATTTGAAAGTCATTTTTTGTGTTTCAATTGTTCACACATCTATTTTATTTATCCTTCATGAGAGTAGATGCACAATTCTTTACGCCAATGAAATAGTCGGAAAAATTAAACAATTCCATTTTATTCTGATTATTCATGTCTCAAGTCGGAACTAAAAATATCAAAACACACCATTGGGACACTGCAAGCGTTATTCGGTGTCTGTTATTTTAACGTAATTCCCTAGATCCATCTTGATTAGAGATTCATCTTACGTTTGGGATAATTTACAATTACGAAACACGCTGATTATACGGTGTCTGTCTGATGAAATGTCTAACTCATTCTTTGATGAAGATTTTTATTGTGTAAGAATATATTTCAAAACTCTGAGATTATTATATTTAAAATGTTATATACAGTATACATACAGTATGCATGCTTTGAATTCAACATTTAATCCTGATTCGTATAACGTTCCCCATATAATTGAAAATAGCTCCTTTTAAAAAAATATTCCTCACAAAGGCGAAGAAAGTCTTAGAAATGAATACATGTGTCTTCTTTAGACATGTAAAGCATTTGTTAAATATTATTTTAACAATGGATAAAGAGTACGTTAATGTGAGATTATGCTCATCCGAGGGTAAACAGTGATTGTGCAGGTAAAATCAAAACAACATCACAAATATTTCATAGTTTATTTTTAAAATATGACACAATTTGATTTTCAACATCTTTCGGAATTAATCAGTATCAATCTCATGATCCAAAGAATGAGGTAGTATTTGGTTGTTTTAGGCACGTTTCATACTTCATTCTTAACATTTTTATTATCAATTATTGGTATATTACCATGAAAATGGTAATTCTATTGGAATATAAGTGAAAAGTTAAAAAAAAAAAGAAAAACGAAAAACAACATATTAATTGTCAACAAAGAAGCAAAATATTAACAACGTGATATGTTTTCTTCCATACAGAATATATCGCTATATCTGACATGAACACCAAAGGTGCCAAGAATGGTTGAATGAAAATCGTGAAACAAGAGCCTAGCGGAAGTTGATATTGACTCGGCGTCTATGTCTTTTTAAAGTTAAAAAAGCTTATTATTTTGTCTGTTATTTATCAAAAATTGTTCCATATACTTTAATCAGTCACATTTTTCTTATTAAACAACCTTATTTATACAACGATTGTGAACGCGCTCAGAGTCTCATTTCGGGAAATATGCTTTCGCGAAACTTCATATAAGGACTGGAGGTGATCGGCAAGGTTTTCCGAATGTCAATTTAAATGGTCGTGCTCTAAATATAATAGGGTAGGGGACCAAAATAATCCCAATGGAGAACAGGCAAACTTATTTCAAATACTTTTGCTGTATTTCCGGCAAAAGTTTTCAAAATCATCACTTCTAAAGATATACGCTATACCGTAATGCTCGCTTTGCGAGCTCGCTATAGTTTTTTTATTGAATGGGCATTCGTTTGTTTATATTTACGGCTTTTACGAGATACACAAATGTTCGTGCAGACAACTATACAGATAACTTCAGTTCAGTGATTGGAACTGTAGAGTCATTGGATGTTTCATTTATAAATGGGTATTAGCTTGACCACTAAAATTTCAGACAAACATGTAATGAAAGCTGACACACGTAATTGATTTGACCAGACATGCGAAATGATTTTACCCAAATAATAACCAGTAATAGATAGAGTGTAATAGTGCATCACTCACTTGAAATAAAAAAAAAACTTCTAACTGCCTTTTGACTTTGTCAGAAACTAATGTTTCTACTGAAGTTGATATTGACTATACAAGTTACAACAGTTGTGTGTGCAGTGCTGTCAGCAGACACTATTCATTGTACAACATGCATTGCAGTTGACGCAAATATACCAGAAATAAGAAAACCATGCATGGCATTCTTGAGAACTCCTTGAGAATTCCATCACCTTTTCTAAGATCTTTTGCCACAGATGCTGAGACTGATGACATGACTGTAGTAGCAGCTGTAGATTGAGCCAAAAGATTTCACTTGTGATTGTAACACAGATTTGATATTCAATTTCAAAGTTAATCATCCAATTACAAACCATTTATAAAATATAACAAACAGCTGTTAACATACCTTTGTCGAAA